AGCCACGCCCATATACACATACAGCCACTCCCCTAAACACATACAGCCACTCCCCTAAACACATTCAACCACTCCCCTAAACACATACAGCCACGCCCATATACACATACAACCACTCCCCTAAACACATACAGCCACGCCCCTATACACATACAGCCACTCCCCTAAACACATACAGCCACGCCCCTATACACATACAGCCACGCCCCTATACACATACAGCCACTCCCCTAAACACATACAGCCACGCCCCTATACACATACAGCCACGCCCCTATACACATACAGCCAATCACTAGCACCATCCCCACACTCGTTACATGTGTTCTTGTCCGCTTAGCTGCGTTAACTCCCCAGAGCCTTAACCGGTCTTGGCTGCACACTACATGAGTAAAATATAGCTCTCCCATTTGTTGTGTCCAACCTATTTGTGTATAAAATTATGTGAAGAAAATAGACAAGGAAATCACTTAATATAAAACAGTTACCATAAAAAAAAGGTGTCTTTCTAAGTGAAGATATATATATCAAAGAGACAGGAAATCGTGTGCACAAATTAAATATAAAATACAATAATATTTGAAACACAGCTAAACTTAATAGCCAAGGGGAGGTAGCGAACTCACAAGATGCAATAGTATACTGAGAAGCGTACCATCTTTACACATCCTTACACACGTCATATCCGTCTATCAAGGAAAGGAAATTACGTATGTGTTTCAAAGTCCCAAGATGACGTAATTTCCCTCCCTCGATAGACGGATATGATGCGTATAAGAATGGACTGCGCGCATGTACACTGAAGTGAAGCGCAAGCTGGAGCGCTTATTGGAATCAGTTGGAAGAAATCTAAATCCTCTAGTTGGGGTATTTAAGAAGACGGCGTGCAAGGTTTGATATATCCCTGAAGACGTCCCACAGGAAGGACGAAGCGCGTTGGATTTTATAATTTGTTTATTTGGTGTTACGGTTTACTGCTACTTATGGGATACCATTTATCCTTTGGTGCCTCAGTCCACAGTTTGGTGGAGATATGCAGATACTTTTTATCGTATTGTAAGTGCAATCATTTATGAAATGTAATTTTATACCTTGCAATATTGCACTATCTTTCCTTTTTATTCTGCCTGACATCTTTGGAACAGGATTTCCAGTTGGAGATGTGCCCAGTATATTATTGCATCTTGTGAGTTCTCTGCCTCCCCTCGGCTATATAATACACTATTTGTGTTATTTTTTGTGTTTCGGATATTACTGTATTTTGTATTTTATATTTAATTTGTGCATATATATATATATATTCACTTATTTACAAGTGTATATGAAAACATATTCTTTTTATGTGTATAAAATTATTCTCATTCTTAATGTGTCACCTTCTGTGATTTCAGGTCCAGTTCCAGCTGCAGAATCCCCTTCTTCTGATGAACCATCCAACAATTCTGATAAAGGTAGCTCACGTACAATTATACAGATGACATATCTTCAAATATCACTTTTAATAATCTTTATATTCAATAATCTTTATAGTTACTGCTCTCTATCACGGCATGGCCTTTATAATTATTATGGTGACTGCTCTCTATCACAGCATGGCCTTTATAATTATTATGGTGACTGCTCTCTATCACGGCATGGCCTTTATAATTATTATAATGACTGCTCTCTATCACAGCATGGCCTTTATAATTATTATGGTGACTGCTCTCTATCACGGCATGGGCTTTATAATTATTATGGTGACTGCTCTCTATCATGGCATGGCCTTTATAATTAATATACTGACTGCTCTCTATCACAGCATGGCCTTTATAATTATTATGGTGACTGCTCTCTATCACAGCATGGCCTTTATAATTATTATGGTGACTGCTCTCTATCACAGCATGGCCTTTATAATTATTATGGTTACTGCTCTCTATCACAGCATGGCCTTTATAATTATTATGGTGACTGCTCTCTATCACGGCATGGCCTTTATAATTATTATGGTGACTGCTCTCTATCACGGCATGGGCTTTATAATTATTATGGTGACTGCTCTCTATCATGGCATGGCCTTTATAATTATTATGCTGACTGCTCTCTATCACGGCATGGGCTTTATATTATTATACTGACTGCTCTCTATCACTGCATGGCCTTTATAATTATTATGGTGACTGCTCTCTATCATGGCATGGCTTTTATAATTATTACTCTGACTGCTCTCTATCACTGCATGGGCTTTATAATTATTATGGTGACTGCTCTCTATCATGGCATGGCCTTTATAATTATTATGGTGACTGCTCTCTATCATGGCATGGCCTTTATAATTATTATACTGACTGCTCTCTATCATGGCATGGCCTTTATAATTATTACTCTGACTGCCCTCTATCACTGCATGGGCTTTATAATTATTATGGTGACTGCTCTCTATCATGGCATGGCCTTTATAATTAATATACTGACTGCTCTCTATCACGCAATGGTCTTTATAACTAATATACTGACTGCTCTCTATCAAAGCATGGCCTTTATAATTATTATGGTGACTGCTCTCTATCATGGCATGGCTTTTATAATTATTTTACTGACTGCTCTCTATCACAGCATGGCCTTTATAATTATTATGGTGACTGCTCTCTATCACAGCATGGCCTTTATAATTATTATGCTGACTGCTCTCTATCACGGCATGGGCTTTATATTATTATACTGACTGCTCTCTATCACTGCATGGCCTTTATAATTATTATGGTGACTGCTCTCTATCATGGCATGGCTTTTATAATTATTACTCTGACTGCTCTCTATCACTGCATGGGCTTTATAATTATTATGGTGACTGCTCTCTATCACAGAATGGCCTTTATATTATTATACTGACTGCTCTCTATCATGGCATGGCCTTTATAATCAATATACTGACTGCTCTCTATCACGCAATGGTCTTTATAACTAATATACTGACTGCTCTCTATCAAAGCATGGCCTTTATAATTATTATGGTGACTGCTCTCTATCATGGCATGGCTTTTATAATTATTACTCTGACTGCTCTCTATCATGGCATGGCCAGGGGCGGACTGAGAGCCTTTGGGGCCCCCGGGCAAAATTAGATCCCAGGCCCTTTGAAGGCCAAATATATGTGCATTTTAATAAATGTTAAATATAATTCATAATACGGCATTCCTTTGGATGTGTGTATTGTGAAGACCTGTGTATCAATGCATGTTTGTATTTGAGTCTGTGTGAATGCACTTGTGCATGTCTGGATGACTACATGTGCTTTTTGTATATAGTGTCTGTGTGAATGCATATGTGACAGGTGACAGAGTGTATGAGGGAGAAGGTGACAGGTGGAAGAGTGAGGGGGTACCTGGTGGCAGAGTGAGGGAAGGAGGGGTTGAGTGGTGGCAGAGTGAGGGGAGACACAGTGAGTGGGGGTGACTGGTGACAGAGTGAGGGAGTGGGTGACTAGTGACAGAGTGAAGGAGAGGGGGAGACTAGTGACAGAGGGAGGGAATGGGAGACTAGTGACAGAGTGAGGGAATGGGTGACTAGTGGCAGAGTGAGGGAGGGAAGGGGTGACTAGTGACAGAGTGAGGGGATGACTGGTGACAGAGTGAGGGGGGGTGACTGTCACTAGTCACCCCATCCCTCTCTCTGTCACTAGTCACTCCCTCCCTAACTCTGTCACTGTGTCACCCCCTCCCTCACTCTGTCACTAATCACCCCCTCTCTCCCTAGTCACCCCCTTCCTCACTCTGTCACTAGTCACCCCATCCTTCTCTCTGTCACTAGTCACCCCATCCTTCTCTCTGTCACTAGTCACCCCATCCCTCTCTCTGTCACTAGTCACTCCCTCCCTAACACTGTCATTGTGAAGGAAGGAAGAGGTGACTGGTGACAGAGTGAGGGAAGGGATGACTAGTGGCAGAGTGAGGGAAGGAAGGGATGACTGGTGACAGAGTGAGAGAGGGGGTGACTAATGACAGAGTGAGAGAGGGTGTGACTAGTGACAGAGTGAGAGAGGGGGTGACTAGTGAGAGAGGGGGTGACTGTCACTAGTCACCCCATCCCTCTCTCTGTCACTAGTCACTCCCTCCCTAACTCTGTCACTGTGTCACCCCGTCCCTCACTCTGTCACTAGTCACCCCCTCTCTCACTATGTCACTAGTCACCCCCTCCCTCACTATGTCACCCCCTTCCTCACTCTGTCACTAGTCACCCCCTCCCTCACTGTCACTAGTCACCCCCTCCCTCTCTCTGTCACTAGTGACACCCTCCCTCACTCTGTCACTAGTGACACCCTCCCTCACTCTGTCACTAGTCACCCCCTCCCTCTCTCTGTCACTAGTCACACCCTCCCTCTCTCTGTCACTAGTCACCCCCTCCCTCACTCTTTCACTAGAGTGAGGGGGTGACTAGTGACAGAGTGAGGGGGGTGACTAGTGACAGAGTGAGGGGGTGACAGAGTGAGGGAAGGGGTGACTAGTGACAGAGGGAAGGAAGGGGTGACTAGTGACAGAGGGAAGGAAGGGGTGACTAGTGACAGAGTGAGGGAGGGAGTGGGTGACCAGTGACAGAGGGAGGGGGTGACACAGTGAGGGAGGTGGTGACTAGTAACAGAGTGAGGGAGGTGGTGACTGTCACTAGTCACTAGTCACCACCTCCCTCACTCTGTCCCTAGTCACCCCTCCCTCTGTCACTAGTCACCCCCTTCCTCACTCTGTCACTAGTCACCCCTTCCCTCCCTAACGCTGTCAACTAGTCACCACTTCCCTCCCTCCCTCCCTCTGTCACTAGTCACACCCTCCCTCACTGTCACTAGAGTGAGGGGGTGACTAGTGACAGAGTGAGGGAAGGGGTGACTAGTGACAGTGAGGGAGGTGGTGACTGTCATTAGTCACCACCTCCCTCTGTCACTACTCCATCCCTCCTTCTGTCACTAGTCACCCCCTAACTCACTCTGTCACCAGTCATCCCCTCACT